ACAGAAGAAAAATTTAATGCTGCTGTCAACGTGATTAGAAATTTGCCAAAAAATGGTGAGTAAATATATAAATAATTTTTTTTGTTTGTTTTAATGACATTTTTTTTTTTTTTTAAAAAAATAAAAGCTAATTTATTAAAAAATCAAATTTTTTATTATGTTATTTATAAAAAAACATTATTGTTGAGTTTAATATCATTATGTCAAAGTATATATATAGTGTTATTCAAACTTATTTGAACAATAAAAAATGTTTATTTTAACAACGACAACAACAAAAAACTTTCTAATTGTTTCATCATGATGTTTCATTTTTATTTTTTAAAATTTAAAAAATGTTTGTTTGAAAACATATTAAGTTGAGTATGCAAATTAAAAAAAAGGTAAAGAAGAAATTTATTTTGTGTCTATTTCATGTTTTTCCGATTATATCATTATGTTTTTAACCGTTTGTGTGTATTTACTTTCCGTTTAAAAACATTTTTTTTAAAAAAAAAAAGTGAAAATTAATTAGTTCTTTAAAAATTAGAAAATGAAGGTAATTAAAATAAAAATAAAGTGAAATTTTTCACTCTATTAAACATAAATACTTGACAGATAAATGTTTTGAAAATTTTTTAGCCTAAATTAACGGTTTAAAAATTGCAATTGAAAATTTATTCGATAATTTTTATATGAAATATCGTAAAAGGTTTTGACAGTTAAAAAAAAATTTTAAACTGAAGTTATACCTGAGGTGCAGGTATGACTTCATGTCAATATTAATACTGTTTCATTATTGCCAATCATGTAAATATAATTATTAATCGATTAGTAATTTTAATTAATAAAACTAAAATCAATCATCAAAATATTCTACATCGACAAAATTATGATAAGAAAGGACAACTATTTTGATAAAAAAATTATTATTATCGAGAATTTACACATTTAAGCAAATTTAATATTTTTATCATAATGTAATTTATTAATTTTAGTAAAAAAATTTAAATCCTACAACGTTACATAAAAATTTATTTGTCCCTTTTTTTCTTTTCTTATTTATATCACTCTGGTGATTTGAAGAATTAAAAGAAAACAAACAAATAAGTAAAAATTGAATTTTTTTTTGTAAAGAAATATAAATATAAATTTTGATAAATCCGTGAAAACAGATTTCAAGCAAGAAAATATAATTAACCTCGTTGCTAAATCAACTTGGGCGCCTGAGAAAGAGAAATCGTGCCTTAAATCTCCGAAACGAAAGTAAAAATTTCACAGGTACAATCATTTTTACCGTTTACCATGTCATTTATTTTTATAATTTATTTAAACAATCGTAACTCACGTTATTTATAAAAAAAAATATTCATTTAAATTTTGTTATTTACCAAAAAACAAAAAAACCAGGTTCGCTGTTATTTATTATTATTATTACCTGGTGTTAATTTTTATATATGATAATATCGTTTGAGAGACTATAAAAATTATTATTATTAATATTATGGGTACTTTACTCAGGTGTGTTACGACGAAATTTGTCAACTTTTTAAAATTTATGTCCATCACCACCACCACCATCACCAACGGTTTAAAGTATGTAAATTGAAGTTTTTTTTTTTTTTTGGATTGCAAATGACAGACAGGCTCAAAAAAACAACTTGTGTTACATTAAACGAATTCATAATAAATTTCTCAATTTTTTTTTTTTTTTTTTTTTTTTTGTAATTTAAATTTTCAATGGCTAAATATCTAAAGGGGATATAACCTTCGGTTGAAAAACGACTGACGTAAATTTTTTTTTTGGGACTTATAATTATTTACATAAATTTTTTTCTTTTATTAAAAAAAAAAAAAAAAAAAAAAAAAAAAAAAAACTTTTTAAACCCCCGCCGTAGGACGTAAAAACAAACAAAAACAAAAACCTAAACCTAGTTAAGGTATAATCTAAACGTTATTTAAAACAAGTGAAAGTTTTATCATTTTTATTATTATTATTATCAAGAAAATTTTCTCTTGTTACAAACAATTGCCCGTTGATTACCATGCGGGATTTGCCGATTGGAAAAAAATATTATTATCATTACCATTTCCTTTCATTATTTGAGGTCATAGGTTACAAAAAATAATTATTAATAAATATTATTATTATTGTTGTTTTTAAAAAGGAAATAAAAAAATTTATCGGTATAATTTGAGCGTGTAAATGCAAAAAAAAAAAAAAAAAAGATTTCAGTCGAAAGACCATCACCGAATTAGCCTACCTATTATTATTATTATTATTAATACGTTCACAGTGCAGTTGTGCGTGTTTAATTGTTTTATAAAGGGTAAATTTTATTAATTAACCGCAAAAAAAGGATTGTCATCTTGTTTTTTTTTTTTTTTTTTTTTTTTTTGGTATTATTGATGGGGATTTTGCATTTTAGCCTTTGAATACTCATTCTCGTAGTAATTTCAAAAAATAATAATATTTGATTCTGTTTGTCTGTTTGTTTGTTTGTTTCGAATGGGACACCGCGTGAAAAAAGATCTTCTTTCTTAAATCCTTTATTTACTTTCATTATATGATAATAATTATGGTCGATGAATGAGTTTTATTAATTAATTTTTTTTTTTTTTTTTTTAGGGGCTTATCAACCGTCTTACGAACTTAAATTAAGGTTTTATGCATATTTCAAACAAGCTACCGAAGGGCCTTGCCTTGTATCGAAACCTGGATTTTGGGATATCGTCGGTAAAAGTAAATATGACGCTTGGAAAAAATTAGGAAACATGACCAAAACGGAAGCCATGGAAAATTACGTCGAAGAATTAAAAAAAGTAAATTTCTATAAATAAATTGAAATTATTATTTTATTATAGATTATTTAATTGAACACACGAAATCGTCGAAACATTTTTCGAATAAATGATAATAATAATAATAAAAATTTCCATTAAGTAATTGAAAGTTGTTTCATTTTGCAATTAATGTTGTTCAATAATTTTCAATATGGCGTTTAGACGATTTGCAAAGTCCTTGTTTCCATAGTACAAGGCCCATCGTTAACCATCCACTTAACTCATTATTATTATTATTATTATTCCATGCAATTCTATCATTTAATTTTTATTACCTTCTTTTGCTTCTGCTTTTTTTTTTTTTTGTATTTGCCAAAAATGACGTAGATTCTACTAAAAAGTTTTTTAATGTTTCGCATATGAATGTCTTTGATTAATGAGTTTTTCTTTTTTTGATGATAATAATGATTTTGATTACAGATAGTCGAAACGATGTCATATAACGACAACGTCGGCATGTTTTTGGGAAGTTTGGGAAATTTTTACGATAACGTTCCAGTCGAAGATATTGAAATGTTATTAGGACCTGTGATAGATAAAGTAAAAGCTCAACCTGGAAATTCTTTAAAGGATTCACCTTTCGGTAAACGAAAAAAAAAAAAAATTTTTACTCCATCGTTTGCGATTAATTATTTTCTTAATTATTATTAAACTATTGTTTACGTACAGGATCGAGAGACACATCACCGAACAGACTTCCAAGACATTTAAATAATAAAAATAACGCGTCCAGTTTGGAAACTTCTCCAATAAGTTCCATGTCGCCATCCCCTCAACCTCCCGACACGGATGATGAAAATGAAGAATTTATTGATACCGTCGAGGTTCGGTCCTTATTTTATAAAATTATTTTATTAATTATTAAACAAATTTTTCTTTCTTCTTCTTCTTCTGCACATTCGCCATTTAAGAGAGCATTATTTTTTGTTTGTTCCAGACTACGCCCAACGCTACCAGAAAAATGTATAAAACGGATTCGATGAGAGGTACGGAAATATTTGAAAGTCACAATAACGTCGTACCTAAAGAGAAAAGTACAAATTCAATGATGAACGGTCACGTGAAATCCGTTAATTCAAACGCCGCGACATTTAACGGTAAAATTCATCAGACAAACGGAATAAAAGATTTGAACGAAGAATTTGAAATGAACGAAAGAGAATATTCGAGAAGCAAAAGTCAAAAAGAGAGTCCAAACGTTGTTACGACAAAGAGAAAAAGTTTGTATTTTAAGTTTTAAAAATTATTTATAAGTTTGACATGTTTTGTTTTTTTAACGGAAATTTAATTTTTTTTTTTTTTTAATAAAAAAAACAGTGAAACAAAATGGAGGGCCTAAATCAAATGGAAATGTTAACATTCCAGATGTTGTATCTGAACATTTAAGGGAGACTGTTTTTCATTTGCAAAAAGATCTCGATAGAATTACATCGAGAGTTAGAAGTTTAGAAGTTGCCATTTTATCATCACAACCTCAGGTGAGTGACGTCACATTCAAGGGTTCGCGAATCGATAACGTTTTTTCAACGACAATCGAAATATTCGATAATCGAAAATCATTTCGATTGTTTTTATTATTTTGTAGTGAATTTTGTTTTTTTTTTTTTTTTTCTTTTTTCTAGGATTTCGAGTCGTCGGTTCGGAAAAATCGTAGAGAATTTTTTCCAGAATTTTCCCGTACGACATTAGCGTTCATAATCGTTTGGCCATTTTTTGCTCATTTTTTGATGAATTATTTAAAATTTAAAAGGACAAAATGTAATTTTTTTTTTGAATTTTTAACTTTTTATTTCTTTTTCGAATTCGATTTTAAAATTTCTTTTCTTTTACAGAAATCTAGTCATGTATTATTATCATTATTATTATGATTTTGTATATTCGATGCCAACGAGGATATTAATCCGTGTGCCAACGTGGACTTAAAAACGTTTTGTACTTGTCTCTGTCACCAAAAAAGTTTAGAAAATTTTCAACATGGAGGAATCGAACGGTGGAAAATTATCATTTATCATTTTCTCCCTTTCTCTTCGTTCACGTTGGCGAAATGGGATTTTTCCGGTCGCTCACGTGACACACAAAATTACGTTTTCGTCGCGTTGTGATCAATTAGAACGTTCGTTTAAAAAAAAAATTTTCGATGTAAAACTTTGTAGTCGTTACTCTTGTTAATTTTTTTTTTTTTTTTAACGACAAACGGCGACGACATTTTGATTATCGTTTGTTACATTGCGATTAGGTTTTATTATTATCATTATTATTTTTTTTTATTCGCCACCTTTTAAAAATTTATCCGATTTTTCCGGGTTTTTAAAAAAAGAAAAATTATACGTAGGTGATAAAGGTAACATAAAATTTTTTTTTTTTTTTTTAAAAAAAAGTTTATAAATATTTTTAGAGACGAGATTTAATTTTAAACAAAATAATAATAATAATAATAATTATTTTAATAGTTGATAATAAATAATAATAATAATAATTTTATTTTATCCAGTAAAAAATCAGTCATTTTAAAAAAAAATAAGGAAAACAGTTCTAATTGATCAAAACTTTTCTTTTTTCCATTTTCCATTTTTTCTTTTTTTTTTTTTATTATATTTAAAAATGTACGATATGAACAAATATTTTATATTAATATATATATTTTAGAACAATTAAAATCTGATAATATATTAAAAAAAATTATTTTTTGTTCGTACGGTTAGAAGAAGAAAAAAGAAAATTTTTTTTTTCTACTTTTTTTGTTTTTTTAAATTTACGTCGGCCATTTATATTTTATATATATATATGATAATTTGTATTGGTGTTATATTAAATTCAATATAGACTTTTCGTATATTATTATATATTATTATTATGATTATTATTAAACGCCCGGAGTTAAAATTTATTTAATTGGAAAAAAACGTTTTATTAAATGGGATATATAAAATTTTCCAACTCGCAAGGGAAAATCCTATTATTATCATTTTCCTTTCTTTTTTTTTTTTTTTTGTTATTCTTTTATTATTATTAATTAATAAAAAAAATTTTATATTTTTTACATAAGACCGGAGAGTTTTCCATAACAAAAGAATTTTCTTCTTGGTAATTAATAAAATAAAAGTTTTAAACGGGCGGGGGGGGGAGGAAACATCCTCCACGTCCATCCTTTTAGGGTCTTGTGTCCACTGTAAAAAAAATTTTATTCATAAAAAAAGGAAGACAATGGATAGGATTCGAAATGAATTGATAATAATAATAATAATAATAAGAGTTACAAGTAAATTTATTCTGTACAAAAGTTTAATTATAAAATACAATTTTTTTTTTTCCATTTTTTTTCTCCTTTTTCTTTCTTTCTCTCTCTCTCTCTTTTGCTAATTTTGTTCTTTAACTAGCAAATTTTATTTATTTATTTATTTATTTATACACATTAACACAGGCTAAAAATGTCATCTATGTGATTTTTTTTTTACGTGGGGGGAGGAGGAGGAAGGGAGGGAGAAAGGGAAGGGGAGGGGGCCGGGTCTTATCCGAAAGATTTTTAAATTAACGTCAGGTATACAAAAAAACCTTATTGTTGTCGTTATTATTATTATTATTATTTTATTTTGTTTTTACCAGCCTTTTATTATACGTACGTAATTAATTTTTTATTTTTATTTTCATTCAGAAAGAAAACAAAAAAAAAAAAACGAAAACGAAAAAAAAAAAGTTTTTCACCTTAAATGCAATGAATGAAAAATTATTATTATTATTATTATTATTATTATTATTATTATTATTATTATCGTGTTGTTATCACTACGTTTTTGTTGTTTTGTTTTCAATTAGAACATTATTGATAAACAAAAGAACAATTTTATTTATTTATTCATTGCATTTATTATTCCGAAAGGCTTCTTAAAAAAAATATGAAAACATTATTATTATTATTATTAATAAATTATACACATCCGATTATTAATTAATATAAATTTAAACGTAAAAAAAAATTAAAGAAAATAATAATGATGATGATGATGGTAAAATTTTAATAATTTAATTTATTTATTTATTTACAAATAATTAAATTTTTTTTTAAAAAACAAAACCAAAATCAAAAAAAAAAGAAAAGCACTATTATTATTATTATCATCATCATCATTATCATTTTCACATTTTCAAAAAGCCTTTCGAGAATTTTATGGCACTTCCAAAAAAAAAAAAAAAAAAAAACAACAGCAGCAGCAGCAACTTTTTTCTTTTTGTTTCGTTCCTTGTTTTCATTCTGACATTTTATTGTTTATTCTTTGATTTATTAATTAATAAATACATAAATAATAATAATAATGTAACATATACATCGATTACGTGTTTTTTTTTTACAATTATTATTATTATTTAAAATAAATATCGCGAAAAAAAAAAAATTTGCTTGAATTATTATTTATTATCCAATTATCGATTTATTGATTTATCGAAATCGAATTATTATTATTATTATTATTATTATCTAACTTCGCATTGTTTTTAAATTTTCCTATTTTCGTCGAAGGCTTATTTATTTATTTATTTATTTATTCATTTAATTAATTAATTATTTATTTATTTATTAATTTAAAAAAAAAAAAAATTTTTTTTTTTTAACTTATTTTTATTCGAGATTTTAATCCTGTCTCGCGAGATAAAATTATTATTATTATTATTATTATTATTATTATTATTATTTTAAAATCACTATACAATTTGATAAAAACTATATCTTAGCTTTTAAGGCACAGATAATCTACAAAACATAATTATTTATTATTATTATTGTAGAAAAATATTTGCCTTCATTAATTATACACGTGACATTATTTATTTATTTATTTATTTAACACGAGTCAAAATTCGAAATTACAACGATGACTTTTCGGTATACTTCCGGTACAAGACATCTATTTCCGACAAGATACGAGATGATAACATCTAGACTAGATCGATAGAATCTCGTCTATAAATTCAATCTACTATTGACAACTTGATGATTAACGAACACGATACGAACCGACAAAAACTTTTTTTGCACAACTTTCTTGTAGAGTTGATAGAATATCCCTAAGGCAAACATTACAGGAGGTGTCAAACTAGCGAATTTGATGATTGATCAATTATTATACTCGGTTATGTTTGCAGGTGCCCAACATATCCACTAATCCTTTCTGTAATAAAACTTTTAGAAGAGATGTGAAATATGCACCTCCCTAAAATTTCCTTTTCCGGTACAATTAATCTCAAAATAGTAAATATTTAAAATTTTGAGTGTCCAAACTACTCATTTGGAATACTACTGCGATAGAGACACATACGCACACACGCACACATCTTATGAGATAAAATTGTTCACAACATCACACCAAGATACACCAGAAGATTTAACTGATTCTTTGGAAATTTGACAACATCCTTCCATCATCAACAACCAACGTTTTTCCGCGCCCATTTTATCTACCATCCATCACTAATCATAAACAGAATGTCGGAAAATGTCCAATTGTTTGAAAACGTCATATAAAAAAATAATTACTTCCTGGATGCAAATGTATATACTACCCAAAGTTACAACACCAAGAGGTCCACAACAAACTTTCTCACAAAGTGAATAACGAGGAACACAACATTTGAGATACACCTGATGAAATAAATGGGAAAATTTTAACACGGAAGAAGAAAAAAGAAAATTAACGAGAAAATTTAAGAAAAAACAAAAAAGAAAAGTGTTGTGCTGTGTTCCTGAATGTTCCTTTGACCACACTAATGAGATCCCACATAGTGTCCTGATATCTGATACGACGCATTTATGATCACCTATTATTTAAATGCCGTAATTTCTCCCTTGAACATGAAACCGATACCATCATCCCTTTATCAATCGGTGATTGCAAATAAAGTCGTACGCATGAAACGAATGAATGACTGATTCATTCATTGATTGATTGTTCGTATAAATAATGCAAATCCCGAACATAAAAAACATAAAAAAAAATAAACAATATTTTAAATTTTCAATATTTTGAATAAAGAAAAAAAAAACATTTTTATTCTTATTTGTACTTGAATTATTTAATTGTTTAAAACAAATGTTTACCATAAAAATCGTTTTTTATAATTTGTTTTAATAATAATAATAATAATAATAATAATAATAAATTATATCGTTTAATAATTTGTTTATTGTTTTTTATAAATTTTAAACAACAATGGAATTTGATACAAAAGATCATCAATAATAACAAATTAAACATACAAATAACACAACAAAACCGAAAATTGTCGCAATCGTAGGTAGGGTTTTCTCTGTGTTTTGGGTGTGTTTTTTAAACAAAATTATAACACTAAATAAGACACTAAACACAATTGTGTTCCGAAAACATAATAAACATAAATAAATAAATAAATAATTTTTTAAGATTATTTATTAGTTGAAATTTATATAGACACACAATCGATTGCGATAATTTTATGTTGTGATGCTTAATTTGCCTTTTTCATCTCTTTCTGATATTTTGTTTGTTGTTGTTGTTTAAAATGTTTTTTTTTTTAATACAAATCATGTGATATAAACAAACACAATCAACAATCAAGTAATAATTTTTTTTTGAGAGAAAGGGATGTTGTGTACCTTCGATCAAATTTTAAACCTCATCATTTTTTTATCAATCCAAATAGGTAGGAGGTCAGGTAATTTTTATGTTTTCCAATATATTTATTATGTATTTGATATCGTGCTAAAGTTTAAATCTAATAAATATTATTAAATAATGGTGGTTGGTACACCTGAAAAACTGTCGAGGAGTTTAGAAACTAGTAGTTATTATACACTACACAGCATCATTAATAACATAAAATTGTCTCATCCGCCGCGCCATTTTTTTTTTTTTTGACCGTGTCTATAATAAATTAATAATAATAACGATAATATAAATAATAATAATAATAATAATAATAAGGATGTAAACTGTAAATAATATACATATATATATATATAAATTATTAATAAATATAAATATTTGCTGATGGGCTTTTTCAACCGTGTGTTTTCATTTTTTTATTTATTTATAATAATTATTAATTAATAATTTTTAAAAATTAAATAATATACACAATTATTTTATTTATTTATATATATATATATAAAACTTTAAAAAATAAACCGCACTTTTTACTTATTTATTTATTTATTATCATTATTATTTTAACGTGAATAAAAAAAAAAAATGAAAAAAAATTCGTTACGACAAAACATTTCCACTTCTCGTGTTTTTTTTTTTTTTCTTATTTTGGCAACAAGACGTTGATTCTTTTTTTTTTTAAATGAATGAGGGACCAACGTCCTTAGCATGGCAAGAAAAAGGTAACCCAGGTACTACTAACAAACAACTTGTTTTTTTTTTTAATTTGGAAATGATTGTCGAAAACACGAAAACAATAATTGTCAAACAAACGACAAAAAAAGAAAAAGAAAAAAAATGAGGGGAAGAGGTGAGGGGAAGGGGGGTAACAGAATTATTTGTAATAATTCGTCGTTAAATAAATTAAAAATGAAAATAATTTTTTTTTCTTTTTCTTTTTCGTGGGGGGCGGAAGCGTGGCGGAAGAGAATAAATAAATAATTAATAATAATAATAATAATATAAATAATAATCAATGTTAAAGGGATTTTCTTTTTTAAAAATTCAAAGTCCTGCCTTTTAAAAAAAAAAAAAAAATCCCACGGCCATCATTTAATAATTTTTTTGGTCCCAACAGCTTTTGGACGAACGAAAGAAAGAAAGAAAGAAAAAATTTTCCTTTTTCTCTTTCTCTTTCTCTCTTCACTTTTCACCTTGTTGTTATCAATAATAACTTTTTCGCGCGTTTTTTCTTTTTCCTTTTTTTTGTCTTTGTTGTTATTTTAATTTTTTTCTTCCACATTTTGTAAAAAAAAAAAAAAAATAATAATAATAATTATTATTAATTTATGAAAATTTTTTTTCCTGAGGTTTTCCGCAGTTTTTCCTTTTCATTTTTTCTTAAATGACGACTAATTTCTTCACCGTAAGAAAATCCTCAAAATCGATATAAATATTATTAATATCGTATTCGATGAAAAACATCGATTACTTCGATTATTTGTTAATTTTCCTTTTTTCCCTACTTCATTTTGATCGTTCGTACTATCAACTGTAAACAAAACAAAAAAATGGTAAGTGAGTGGGTGGTTGCGTACTCGGTCCCCGATACTAATGACGAAAAAAACCAATGGTAACAACAAACGACAAACGACAAAGGATAACAAACCTGTCTTTTTTGTAGATGATTTGTAATTACGATTGAGATCAAAGTCTTTATACGACGTAGGCCTAGGAGGACTCAATGAATGCCAATGAGTTGTTGTTGACGAAGAAGTCGTCGATTGCAAATTTGTGCTCACAGCAGCCACAGTGCTTGGAGCCCGATTTGTCGACGCTAAAAGTGAACAAAAAAAAAAAAAATCCATATTTATTAACAATAATAATAATAATAATAACAACATTTTGTTTAATAAGTTGTGTCGACCGGTTATAATTGAATCAATTAATTAATTATTATTATTATTATTTTATTTTTTAACAAACAAACAAAAAAAAAAACTTACTTTGATTATGAACGTCCTGTGGTGGGCAACAAACTTTAAAAACAACTTTCATGTTATGAGTTGAACATCGTCCACCGATTCGACGATGAATGTCATCTTTTGAAGATGTTGCTGGTTATTATTTTAAAAGAAAAAAAAAAAAAAAAGAAAAAACCGTTATTTAATATAATTTAAACACACGCACAAAACAAAAGGGGAAAAGCTTTGAGGTTATGCATATCGAAAAATGACGTCATCATTTTTATACACTTACATATAAAATAATAATCTTGTCCGGGCTGGAATTCCAGGCCGCCGGGCTGCGGTGTAAAGGATCGGAATGTGATTGTAAAATACATCAACTTATATGGCTTGTCACAAATTGCAATAATTCTAGGATTTGGATTTGTGATTCGACACGTATCGTATTCTTCCTTGGATACCTTAAATATCATCATCATCATTATTATTATTATTATTAATTTTTCTGACAAAAATCCGCCCCCTTTTTTTAACCCTGCATTCTTAAATTCTTAATCATTTTTTCTGGTTTTTGGGTTTTTCTTTTCTTTTAAACTCGATTGATTTTTTTTTTTTAAAACCGGAAGTTGATTAAATTTTTTTCTTTAAAATAATCATTAATAATGATGATAAACGTACACAAAAAAAAATTACAACATTAAGTCGAAATTAATTAATAATTAAAACAAAAAAAAAAAAAAAAAACTAACTAATAAGACTTCATAAATTTAATTTTATCGTTTGTAAAAAAAAAGGATGAAAAAGTAAAAAAAAAAAAACCCTTCCTCTCTCCCTGCACAAAAAAGAAAAAAAATTATGGGAAAAAGAGAGAGAGAGAGACTGAAACGTGAGAATATCACAAAGAGAGAAAGAGAAAGAGAGAGAGGGGGCAAAAAAAAAAGCAGACACTACTACTATCCAAAAGGAAGAAGAAACCTTTTAAATTTATGATTTTAAGCTTCTAAACTTTTAGTCGTAACCAAGATTTTTTTTTTTTTTTTTCAACTATCATTCTTCTTTTTTCGTTATCATTCTTTCCTCCTTCTCTCTCTCTCTCCCTCCTTATAATATTTCTTCACTGATTTTACCCGAAAAAAAAAATCCATTTTCTCTCTTTATCCCCCACAACCTCCCACCTTTTCTTTTAGTAAATGGTATGTAAACAATTATTAAAAATACTTGTATATATACACACACACGCGGAGTCCCCCCATTTTTTCTTTTTTAATATAACGTTCGACGTTTGTTTTCTTTCTTTTTTTTTTTCTATTTAATTGATGTAACTTTCATCTTTTCATCTCTTTTAAAAAAATTTTTAAAAAAGAATAAAAAAACACTTACGTTATATATAATATATTTTTCTGTGTCTTCTTCGTGCGTACCATTTGTATACACGGGACATATTATATTCACTTGATCGTATTCAAATGGTATATTTCCTTTATTAACATCAATTATGTGATCCGTATTGTCTATCCTAAATCTGAAACATAAAAAGACACAAAATTTAATACAATTTTCCATTCTCTTCTTATTCTTCTTATTATTCCTCGACAGGAAACGAATGAAAATTTTTCTTTTATTTAATCATCATGAATTTAATTTAAAAACAAAAAAAATTTTCCTCAAAAACCTGAATGAGAGAGAGAGAGAGAGATAGAAAATTACGTCAACGTTTCCGAAAATTATTATTATTAATATTAATAAAAATGGCGGACGTGTTAAAAATTATATTAATAAACCTAATTTAGTAGTTATGTAGTGGTGCAACATTTTTTTTTTTTCACCTCATCGTCGTCGTCGTCGTCTTTTATGAAAAAGATTATATTTTTTTTTTTTTCGTACCGATGTCGTGATGTCTCTCCCAAGGAAAGAGAGAGATGGAGGGATTGGGGGGAGAGAGGGGGAGAGAGAGAGAAAAAAGAAAACACCAACCACACTTTTAAATTGGTAATAAAAAGTCAGAATTGTCTTTTGTCAAACAACTTTATTGATCGTTAATTTATGTGAACGCCTAAGAATCAAGTTAATTTCATTCGACATGCGTCGTCGTCATCGTCGTCGTCGTCGTCGTCGTCGATGCCTCCTAATCATCATTAACGTTTTATATATATAAAAAAATTTCTTATTATTATTATTTTCATTTATTTTTTTAAATTATTATCATTGTTATTATTATTTACCGTAACCGTTTTCTTATTTAATTCTTTTCTTTCTTTTCTTTTCTTTTTCCTTCCCTTCCCTTTCCCCCCTCCCTTTCCTCCACTTCCCTCTTTTTTTATGCGAAATTATTATTATTACTAGTAGTAGTGGGAATCGAAACACTCATTTTTCTTTATTTTATTTTATTGTTAAACGCTTAATAATAATAATAATAATAATAAAAAGAATAATATGGTTAATAATAATGATAATGATAATAATTGAAAATCGAAATTAAAAATTGTTGGAAGTTTTTAACTCTGGTCGTTATTGAGACAAAAGTTATTGAAATTATCTCATCAATCACTAATGAATTAAGGGAGACAAAAAGAAAATCGGATGGGGGGCAGAAGGCGAGTCGAGGGGAGTTGAGGGAAAAGGATATAAAAAAAGAAAAAAACCTTTTATAGACGACGCTGGCTAAACATAATTTTTTTTTTCCCTTCCCATATCATTTCGTTTCCTTTGGGGGCGGGAAGATAGGAAAAGGTAGGGTAGGGTAGGGTGTGTGTGGGGGGGATAAAATTAAAAAAAAAAATAAAACTACTTACGGTACAATAAAAGAAGAAGAAGGAGGAGGTAAAAACAAAAACCTGAATTTAAAGGTGGATAAATTAACGTTCATTTTTTTTTAAATAAACTATAATTTTAAATATTTTTTTAAAAAAAAAAAAAGGAACCCGGTAAAAGCAGACAGGTTTTTTGCCCAAAGGTAAGATTTAATAATGTTTTTATAAGAAAAAAAAAAAAAAAAAAAGAAAGAAAAACAAAAAGAAAAAAAAAATTCGTTAAAGTTTAAATAAAAAATTGCAATTTAAATTCGCACGGAGAAAAAAAAAGTAACGAAACACAAACAGACAGAGAGAGAAAGAGAAAGAGAAAGAGAGAGAGAAAGAGCAAGAGAGAGAGAGAGAGAAAGAGAGCGAGAGAGAAAGAGAGAGAGAGTGCGTGTGCATCATTCGTAAATTTAATTTTTACCAGATGGAGGGGGAGGGAGGGGGGGTTAGGAAAAACATAAAATTCGAATCGTTCACAAACCAACCACCTTTTCAAACCTTTTTTTCTTAAGGCTTCTTCTTTCCTTTCCTTTTTTTTTTTGTCTTTTTTACAGCTTCGAAAGGACAGAAAAAAAATGCGGTCGGTCGACTACGAGTTTTTTTCTTTTTTTTAATTGCACGCTAAAACTTTTTTTTTTACTTCACGGTAACTCGATATTCTAAGTGCATTCAATTTAAAAAAAAATTTTACACCTTAAAAGGTTTCATAAAAACAGAAGACACCTCCTCCTCCTCCTCCTCCTCCTCTTCCTTCTTTTGTACCCTTTCATTCTTACAACCTACGTTGAATAAATTTTTATTTTTTATTAAATTAAAATATTATTGAAACAACTATCAGAATGCAGAAAAAAAAAAAATAATAATAAAATAAAATAAAAACTCGTAAAAAATTCAAATCCTATTTTTTACGATAGAAACATGCGAAAATAATAATAATAATTGATGTACGCGGCGTTTATTACTCGCGAGAGTTACATGGATTCGTGAATACATAAAAAAAAAAAAAGCGAGAAAATGAAATTCCCCCCTCCCCCCGATTGAATAAAGATGATGACGACAAGAACGACTACTACCACTACTACTACTACTACTTTCGATGATCATAATGATAATAAAAGAAATGCAATTTGATGTAAACAATAAAGTGTTGTCAGGACTGAAACACAAAAAGGTTAAGCTAAGAAATCATACGTATGATGATGATGATAAAAAATTATTGTTGGCAAATCGGTTATTTTATTTATTAACACCAGAAAGATAAAAAAAGAAGAAATTTTTATATCATTATTATTATTATTATTATTATTATTATTATTTCTTTTACATCTTTTAATATTTATGCAAAAAACAAGAAAGAAAACAAGAAAACGACCCTTGAAGATGAAGATGAAGATGAGAAACCATTTTGATTAAAGATGACTCTCACTTAAAATGAGTCAAACATAGTAGTAGTACTAGTAGTGTGTCAGTGACAGAAAATTCTATAATGAAATTTATTATTTATGTTTATTACATGTTAAGGTCAATCATTTAAATTTAAAACAACGCAATATTAATAAACATTATTGTGTGTATTGATTCTCATTTTTCCATTTCTCCCCCCCCCCCATCTCTCTCTCTCTCTTTCCATTTTCCTCAGATTTTCTTGTTCGTAAATATTATTTCATTTTCCCATTATCGTTTTACACTATGAAACTTATCGATATTAAATCTTGCCACCGCCCACACTTTGTTAAGGGCCGCTACAACCACCCCCCCCCCACCAACAACATCACCATCACTCGCTCTTAAATAATAACAAGAGATTTTATTATAACTTCTGAAAGATAAAATAAATAATAATAATAATAAAATATGTATTCTCATTATAATCATCATCATCATCATCATCGTTATTATTATTATTATTATTATTATTATTATTATTATTATTATTATTATTATTATTACAATATTTGCACTTTTTTTTTTTTATTTAATGATTTTCATACCGCCGTTAAAAATTTAATTTTTATTTTATTTTATTTATTTTTTTGTAATAAATAAAATCCTTTTTTAATAGTTTTTTATTATTATTATTATTTTTTAATACACATTTTAACAATATATATAAAATCCTCTTTTTATTTATTTATTTATTTTTATTAAAGTGAGTTTAATAAAATTATTATTATTACTATTATTATTCGTAAAAATTGAATAATAAAAAATAAAATTATTTGTGATTTACTATAAAAAAGAAAATTTTTTTTTTTTTATATAGAAAATTGCAAAAGAGATTTTTATATTAGTTTATTATCATTATTAATTTATCTTTTAACAATTTTAATATGTTAAATCGATTCATCGAACGATTCATCGATCGATCGATCGATCGGTGAATCAATCAAATTTTTTTTTTTAAAAAAGCAACTCGATAAAAATTTAATTTTGATTACGAAAAGAAAAGAAAAAAACGAGGGAAACCATAAAAAAAAAAAAAACGAAAAGAGAGAGAGAGAGAGAGTGCGTGCGTGCGGGTGCGTGTGAGTATGTGTGTGTACGTGTGCGCGTGCGTAAAGACCTTTAAAACGTTTTAAAATTAAATTAGTTATATAATAAAAAGTTTATAAAAAAAAAAATTTAACCTTAAACTTTAACGGACAAAATTTTTTTTAAATCCAAATTTAAATTCCAAATTCGCAAGGTTTTTGTTTTTTCTTTTTTTTGGGGGGGGATCTCAAGTGGAACCTACCGAGTATTATTATTATTATTATTATTTTTTAAAAAGAAAATTATTACGAAATTGGTTAGTTAAAATTATTATTGTCTTTTTTTTTTTTAAACAAAAAGAACGACGTTTTGCAATAACTACGACAAGCTCAAACGACAAACACACGACAAACAACAAACAAAAATCATGATGAAAAATAACCAACCAGAACACACAAAAAAAAGAAGGGGGGAATTAAATTTATTATTATTATTATTATTATTATTATTATTATTATTATTATTATTATTATTATTATTATTATTATTTTCATTTCGTTTTTTTTTTACTTTTGTTTATTCAATTTATTTTTTATTTTTTCTCCCCGTTTGAATTATTTAAAAACTTGAAATTTAAACTGAAAAAAAAGGAAAATTTAAAGTACCCTTTTCCCTCTCTCTCTCTCTCCCCCTCCTTCCCCCTCCTCTCTCAAACAAACAAAAAAACAAATTATACGAATGTTAAAAAAAAAAAAAAAAAAAACCGTCAAAAATCAAAAAAATCAAAAATTACCGTCCGACATTTTCTTTCTTTTTTCATCTTCATTTTAAACTCCTACGATCAAAGCTACCAACCAAACAATATAAAAAAAAGAAAATTAAAAATGCTCCCGGAGGCAAATAAATAAATAAAATATTATCGAGTGTAAAAATTTGCGCCCCGTTCGAATCCCCCTACCCCCCACCCACGATTTTCGTTAAGGACGCCGACATTTTTTTTTTTTTAAATTTTACAACGTTGGAACCTACATATATGCTTCTGTCTTTAAAATGATAACGAAACGAAGGTCGATAAGAGAGAGAGAGAGTCAAATGTTAATATATATCAATATAAAAATATATTTAAATGGCGACGACGGGGGAGGGAGGGGAGAGAAAGAGGAAAGACCCGAAAATGAAAAATTTGACCCCGAACGCAATCAAATCAAATCAAAAAATTTTTCAAACTCAATCACGAAAGAATGATTTAAATTAAAAAAAAAAAAAAAATGGAGGAATTTTTTGTGCTAACGAAACCAGTTACTACAACAACAATAACAATAATAATAATAATAATAATAATAATAATAATAATAATAATAATAATAATAATAATAATAATAATAATAACAATAAAGCAAATAATTACTTTTTTTTAAAGGCATTATTGCTTCATTCGTCGTCGCAATTACAACAACAACAACAACGAAAAAAAAATATAAAAAATCAAAGGAAAGAAACGAATTTAATTTTTTTTCCTTTCCTTTTTTCCTTTTTTTTTTGTTGATAATTGATACGAAAA